GTGTTTCCTTTTAATCGTGTATTAAAATAAATCAAATGAATATATCATATCAATTTTTATTTTCCAAACAATTTATGTCTGATATGATGATATTTTTGAGTCATTTAAGTATTTATTATTATATCTCTTCTGTTTCTTCATCATGATATATGTGTATTCATTGCATTGTTGTTTTATCTTTTATCTTTTTTGCATATCAAATACAACTTTATCTTTTATCATTTGTGTAATCCAAAACTGCATTTTTTTTTATTCTTTATTCAGATACTTGTAAATTAAATTTCTCATTGATATTTAAAAGATTTCAAATCTTTTCCTTTGACCTGAAATTCGATATTTCTAAGTAAGAATTTTTACTAAAAATATTTCTTTAAAAATTATTTCAAATCTTGGAATATTTTAAAGAATTACACTTTTAATATTCATCCTATTTCTATATAAATATATCAAATTCATTTTTCTTTTACAAAATATTTAAATAAGGATTTATTTTTTAAAATATCCTTTTACAAATACGTTACTTTTACAAGTAATTAGTTTCCTTTTTACGATATATGCTTAATCTTTATTTTATTACAGATAATAAATATTTAAAATCCACAGCTCGTTTCTGATCGAGAAACACGGGCACAGAGATTATTGAAAATTACTTGCTTCTCCTGCGAAAATCGAAAATATTATCGCAAATCAAATAAATAATTTTGAAGAATGTAAAATGACTATAAATAGAAAGAAAGAAAATTATTCTTGGAAAAATTTAAAAGTACAATTTTACTTTGCTCGTAGATTGTAGATTGCAAGAATGTAAAAGGTGTCGTTTACAAATATGAACAGGAATTTAGATTAAAATTATTTCGAAGAGAAGTAAGAGTTACATAAAAGATCTATTAAAAGTTACAGATGAAAATTCTTTTTTTTGTAAAAATAATTTAAATATACCATTATAACTTTTATCATAACTTAATTACTTTTATCATCACTTAATTACTTTCCACGAAATTATTTTATTTTTGCACGAGATATGCACGACTTTATTGAATTCTATTAATTTACATTTAAGAAGTAATTAGAAGTAAGTAATAATTTAAGAAGTAATTTGAGACTTTGAGAGTTTGAACACAATTTCGTTTGATTTAATAGAAAGTCTTTGATTATGTAAGAAAATTAAATTGGAACAAGAAACGTTGATTTCATAGTAAAATTTCATATAATTATTTTTGTATGAGAAACGCGGGATTCTATCAAATCTCGTTAATTTGCATACGAAATAACGTCTCTTCTCTTTAACGTCGCGTTTATTATCGCGACTACGGTTTTAATGCATAAACAACTTAGATCATCGTTTTGACAAGATTTATTTCTTGATCTTATCTTGAATTTAATAAAAAAAATTTATCTTTATTTATTTTCATTTAATGTTTCGTTTCGGATGAAAAATAAAACAGAGATAAAACATGAGTCGATTTATTATCGTTTAGTCAGTATTTAGTTGGTTGATTAAATTAAATTAAAAAAGAAATGATGTTAACTTTCTTGATTAGTATTAAAAAGATTATAAATTTTTAATTTCATGACATTTAGAGGTGATTTAGTTAGAGATTAAGTTAGGTTATTATTTATTAAACTTTTTTATGCATATTAATATATGTATAATATATGTTTTTGATTGATTTTAGAAGAATTATAAATTTTTTAAACAATAATGTTTAAAAATATATTTAGCTCAAATTAACTTAAGTTAAGTTAATAACCTCTAAATATTCTTCTTCTAAATATATAATTTTTGCGTGAATTAAGTTGAATAACCTAATCTATGAATTTTATTCGAAAAGAATTAATAATAATTCAATTGATATCAAATATTTTTTTTTCAGGATATTTAATTGCGTTTGTATAAGTACTGTATAATATAATACTATACTACTTTATTTTACTTTCTTCTTCTATAAGTCTTAACGTATGAACCATGTGAATTTTGTATGTTATATTTATTGTCGAATAATTAACTTAAAACTAAAAATTAAACTATTAACTAAAAATTAGAACATAGAATTATTTAAACTATTTAAATAACTAACTTTTTTAAATGAATTTAGAATAATATTTGATGCAATGTTAACGGTATTAAAAATTTCATAAATATTAACAAAATTAATATAAATATTTCAATTAATTGAAACACTTTAGTTTAAAAATTATAAAGTGATTAATATCTTTTTCATATACGGTTTTAGATAAAATATTGTATTATTCTCTATATTAATTTATTATTAAATTTTATTTGAAATAATAAGTAATATTTGCACTTTTACGATAACTGAAATGTTATTTGAAAAATACGGATATATTTAATATTAAAATTATGTGCATTTAAAATTATTAATTAATTAAGTATTCTTCTTAATGTAACAAATATATATAGCAATTTTTAAAAATATGATTTATTAAATCTATTATAATATGCAGAAATTACTTAAAATATCTTGTATCCATTTTACAAATTTTCAAATATTCTTTTTTTTTTAATTATTGATCGATGTAAGATTATATATAATATAATTATATAAAATTATTATACTGTAAATAACCATTCCTTTTTACTAAATTATTATTTCAATATAATATTGAAAAGACTTTAAATAAATGATAATAAATGATAATAAAAGATTCTTTAAATAAATATTTATATAATTTCTATTTATGTATGTTTTTTTATAAAAAAAATTAGATGAAAGAAAAATATAAAAAAAATCTATATAATTATGTAAAAAATTGAATTTGAGAGGTTCAAGACATAGTTAAATTATATAACTCTTATATGTGTAAAATTGCAAGTATTCCAAAAATAAACGATGATCTACGACAAGGCGAGAGACATTGAAAATGTAAATTTTTCCGTAGTATCCAGGTGCAGTTCGTCTCGAGGGATTGTTTGATACGCAACTAGAGGAAAATAGCCTGATTCCGGGCAATTTTACGATATTCGTAAAAGAAAAATTTCTTCGACGATCTTAAGAATCTTATATGTCGACTTGGATATCCTTTATTGTCCTTCCAACTTAAATCTACGAATTATTTTTTAACGTTCCAATGAAACGTGTAACTGTGATCCTTTATACCATTCGTGGCAGAGAAATTTCTTCGAATACGAGCAAACCGATTGTGCGCGTTAAAGAGCGATAAAATCTTTTAAAGGAAAGGATAAGAGAGTAAAAAAAAAAAAAAAAAAAAAGAAGCTTTTATTAGCTATCGTCATTCCTGCGGATTTTTCTCTCATAATTTTTCATCCTTTCTTCGATCGTATCTCTTTTCCATCCAGACTTACTCTCAAGTAAGAGGATCATGGGTGAGTAATCGTTAATGAAGTAGACTGTTCAGATAATCTGGACCGAGTTTGAAAAACGATGGAATCTTTCTGAGGATGAAGATAAAAAAAATAGAATTCGAAGACGAAAAATTAAATGGATTGGCAAGATTTATGCGAAATGAAACAATTTTATTTTTTTTAATATCTTATCGATTATTATTTAATATTATATAGTATGTAGTATTATTATATAATATTTTAATTCTTTTAAATAAATTTAAACTAATCTCAAAAGAAATTATTTATATTATCCAAGTATATTTAATTGAAATTTAATTAATATTAAACGTTTCAGAAAGAATTTTTTCAGTTGTCACGATTTCTTGTGTAGATTTATTTTAACAATTTTTTCTTTTGAATTTAAAATTCCAGACTTTATACAATTTCCATTCCATTTATATTCCACTTATATTCTTTATATTTACAAATTAAATTTTTAAAAATTTCTTACATTATGACAATTATGATATTAATTATTTCATTAAATGTAAAATCTTTTCTTGTAGTCTTTTAGCTAACGTAATATTATTTTTTTAAATTGAATTTAATTTTGGTCACGAATAAAAAATAATTTTAATGTCTACATTTTAATTGAAATTCATGCTTAACGTTTTCATATGTAGATTTTAAAAAAAGGAATAAATAAATAAAAGCTATGTTGAATTTTTTTCAAACTGAGAACGACAACTGTGGGTTGCATTTCAATGAGCTTGATTTCCTAGTAGGTTAATTATGATACCTTATTCAACGCAATTTTAACGTACAATTGTGTTTAAGAAAAAATTGCTATTCACAGAAAACTCGAAATTGATCACAGATACAATATTTATTAATCAAAAAAAAAAGTTTAAAATAATCAAAGACATAATATACTGTAATGTCGAATCAATGATAATTTGTTTGTAATGTAATATATAAAAGTATTTTTAATGAAAATAAATAAAATATTACATATAAATATTTGTTTTAAATATTATCCTAAAAAAAATTACAAAATAAACAATAATACAACTAGTATCACATATGTATAAATAGCATTATTCAAATAAAAGATTTATTCAAATTATATGATTTAATTGTAATTATTCGAATTTATAATAAAAATAGAAATATTTTAAATTCTCAAGATTTTATTCTTATTTTGCAAAAACATTTAAAAAATATAATTAAATTTTATTTAATTAAAGAATGCAATTACTTCCAATTAATATAAATTTAATTCTAATATCTAATAATGCTTGTTATTCAAATTTTTATTTCTGATAATTTAATTAAATATTCGTGAAAAAAAATTTTCATATTAAAATACAATAAAAAAATAATATAAACATTGATAATGGATACGAAATTACATATTCATAATTTGTTCATAATTAAATCATCAACACTTCGGAAATAAATTAATAATGCCAATATTATAATTGAAAATGCAAATATAATTATTATTCAATTATGCGTTAATATCCAATTTAAGAAATATTGTCGAATCGTTTCGATGCATTATTTAAATGCAATTTCATGCACCGATGTTTATCTTTCAAAGAGAAAAAGTTTCTAAAGAAGACAAGGATAAGAGGACAAGGAGAAAAGTTGTTGAACCACCATACCTTGCCACGATGTTGAACTTACTTACACGATCACAAGCATATTCTTTCTTAATTGATTTGTCGCTCTTTCCTCTTTATCCTTCAACTTGAAAGTTTTTTCACGGTTCACACGAGAATATATATAATATTATTGAAAAACATATGATCGATTCTCATAGATATCAGTTCTTTCGCGTCCATTTCCTTATACCACTTTTAATTTTTATATTTTTATTTTAATACTCATCTTCTTATATCATAATTTTTTCGAAAAAAATTTTCGATCAATATCGGTTCTTTTATGTAAATATCTATATTGTTTTATGTTCGAAACAATATATTCATCACATATATATGAAAAATAAATTTTTCTTTAAATTACGATAAAAGATCTCTGTTTAATTTGTAAAGTTTAAAAACTTTAAGAATTTAAGAATTTTAACATTTGGTCACAATTTTTATTTAATACACAATAAATTTCAAAACACAATAACAATTTTATTCAATAAATTTATTATTCAACAAATTTCCAAATACCGACAATTCATTTAATCACAAACCATCCACACTTCTTGCATCAACACTATCCATTCCTAGCTCTATTTGATTTATTGATAATAGTTATCCAATCCTTTTTCAATCTCTTCATACAATAATGATTATCAATTTCTAATTAGAAGTTATTCGAGCATTACCCTTAACACATTAGACAATTTGATAATTAATGACATATCTTGCATAATAAAATTTAATTAACCGTCATCGACTTTCGATCATTCCGCCGTGTTCATCCCCATATATATCACTGACTTTTTTCCACGGATCTCGCCAAGTTAGCGAAAATGAGGGAGGAGCAAAAGAAAAAAAAAATATAAAAGTTTGTCTGCAGAAGTATAATAAAGGAGAATACACGGAGGAAAGTTTTCCAAAATAAGATTGGTGCGGAATCAAGTTTCATCAAGCGCGGCTGTCGGCAGACTGTGAATTTTGTCTAAAGGACCTAACCGGTCAGAGACGCGCACCCTTACTGCGCACCCCTATCATAAACACAATATTCCATTTATATTTTCTCCTCATTGTTTACGACGACATGTGCTATAGTGAAAGCTCTTGTTGTGGCTAATTGACTGTGACTAATGATGAGATCAAGCGAGTGTATTTAAATATTTTGAAATCAAATTCAAAATGTGAAAGATTTATGGATTACGATTACAAGGTAAGCGAGATAATATAATTTTTCAGGAGAAAATAAACTTTAGAATAGAGAGAGAGAGATCTTTTCGTTTATAAATATCATTGTGTATATATCTTATTTTGCATTCTTTCTTATATAACATATGTATTCTATGGATTTTTGTGTAACTTTGTGTTGTAACTTTGAATTTTCAATAAAGTCTAGAAATAACAAATAAAAAGGATAAATATTTATTTGAAATAAGAAATAGGAAATATGTAATATTTGATATATGTATAGATATTGTGCAAACAAAATTTAAAAATTTTTTTGAAAAACAAGATGTTTTTGAACGATTTTATTTCAAATCAAATTTTTAATTATTTCAAATAATTATAGAAAATGAATGAATAGAAACAAATGATAAAATCCTTTGTGTATGAATTTTCTTTTATACAGAATATTAATATATTTTTAGAATATCCTTAAAAAAATCAAATCTAAATGAAATAAAACAAATATCAAGCTTGATATACAAAATATTAATTGACGTTTATTTATTAAAATTTATTTATAAGCAATTTAATTGCATTAATAGATAAAATAGAGACGAAATGAGATGGGGATAGATTTGTCAGAAATACAGTAATATATTCTATTTAAAAATATTTGAAATTTTTCATTTTTATAAAAAAAATTTATATTTCATTCACAATATGTTCAGATGTACTTAAAAATATCTTTTTATTTTTGAACTATTTATAAAGAATCTCAATCTCTATTAATGTTCGAATTTATTTACAATTACTCGAATCTATCGCTAACAAAGTAATCTTGTGCAAACGAGGATGGCTGTTACGAGTGTTCTTAGAGGAAACTTAACGCTGTGGAATCGCTTCTCTATTTTATTCTTAGAATGAAACGTTGTCATGAGAAGTTTCAGTCAGGGTCAAGATCGAAATGGAATAAACTACATCAGAAATTTGTTCATCTTCTAAATGCGATTGTTCGAGAAAGGGATCAAAAGAAAAGTCTTCGAATAGTTTATATAAATAAGTGGCTTTGTATCGTACATATACATGGAAACGATTTACTTTTGATTCTATATATTATTTCATTCTGTATTTATTTCTATATATCATTTCAGAGTAATTTTTTGTTAGAGTACAAGAAGAATTAGAAAGATTCTGTTATTAATTTCTTGTATGGAAATTTTGTGATATTGTTCTTTTGTCAATGGATTCCATATGTTCTTATAATTTTATGATTAAAAGATTGAAAATGATTTTATATTAATTAAAATTTAAAAAATTCTTTTATTTGAAAAATAATAAAAATAGTGTTTAGAAATATTTTCTGTTATTATTTAAAAAGTAATTGTATTTGACACAATTATAGCTTCGAAAAATTGAATATGATATTAGCTTCAAAAAATATTTAAACTGATAATATGTGATATAGAAAAAGAATAAAATATTGATGATTAACATCGACGAATTTTCATTTTTATATTATTTTTTAATAATTATTTTATTATATTTTATTATCTTTCTATGTTTTTAAAAAAAGTTATCTACAGAAGCTATTATAGAAGAATGATAGAAAACTATTTATCCTTTATATTATATTATATTATCCTTTTATAATAATAATAATATAATTTATGTGTTTCAATAAGATATCATTTATTCAGGTATCAAATTGACACCCGAGTATAACTCTCCTTTCATCCATAAAAAAGGGTATGTCATTTTTTAAAACAAAGTCCCCATTTTTTCTTTCATATCTCGATAAACGAATTTCCACGTGCAAAATTTACATATTTATTCTTAAAAATTTTCGTCACGTTTTTGAGTTTTGTCTTATCGATATTTTTTTTTTTTTTTGGAAAAGCGATGTTTTATTTCAGTCAAGGATTCATCGAAAGGAACACTAACGAAGTTCATAGTAAAACAACTAACGACGCAGAAAATGTTATAAACAAACAGAAATAAAAGCTTTGTACTTCCCTGACAAAAGCTTCATCGTTCAAATAGACAACGATTTGATTGACAAAATTATTTATTTTAGAAAAGGAGCAACTCAGTTAAGTTCAAAGGATAAAATTAACAGATACACAATTCACACGAACAAATCTCTGTATATTGTAAGCTCAATTGAAAACATTGAATGATGCTAAATAGCAAGAGAGATGATAAATGACGTGTCCATTTGTGGAAGCATAAGCATAGGAGTATTTAGCGATTATTTTAAAGATGTTCATTTATAATTCATATATTTTTTTTTTTTAAGTATTTTCACATAATGCGTCTTTTAAGAACTATATTCGACAAAATATAAATCAAATTAGTCTCACAGTAATTTTAAGATGTATTATTAGAGTTTAAAATTGATGAAGTTTACACAACAATAATAAGTAAACTAATTTCTACGAGTAAACTTCATATAAATTATAAGCTAATTGATTATTTGTAAAGTACTATAATAAATAAAAAGTAATAAAGTAATACAATTATAAATTTACAACTTTGTAGTTGTAAATTTTCTAATATTAATTAATATTAAATATGTGAATTGGCAAAGGAAATGAAATTTTAACATTTACCAAACATCGACAAACTAACAAGAAAGTAGAAATGGAGCACATGTGGTCAGACATATTGAGGGAAAAAATTCCTTACTATTACAAATTACTTATAATTTTTTGAAACTAATTTGAATAAAAAATATTATAAATGATTACATATAATTAAATTATATATTAATTTGATATAAAAATGCATGCAATATTTCTTTACGCTTGAAATTATAAATATACTTGATATCACTTTTTTAATTATATCTATATTGAATTTTTTTTAATCTTTTTATTTAATGTTTATTAAATAAAAAGCTTATGCTATATAACGATTATTAATAGTAATTTTAATTATTTAGATTTTATACGAAAAAAATTTCTGTCTTCTTTGTCTTTATTTAAATTTTTGGAATGTATGGTGATTTCATAAATTGGTCTAATTAATGTGTACAAGAGAATAATGTATAATTATTTTAAATCGACGAGGAATAGAAATAGATGTTAATCAGAATTAGATGTAGAATTGGCGCAAAATGCTTCTTTAGTTTAATACTACCTCTATTGAAAATTATTCATTATAGACTAGAACTCGAAGCTATTGACATCAAAATCATATATTCATAATATTAAATAGAATTACGGGAGAATTCACATTTCTCTTTAAGAAATAAAGAGAAATACCTGGTGCGATGAGAGACAATGACAATGGAGGCGTCAAATAATAAAATTTATCATTGATATAGGATCTTCAAGTTCATTATTTCACTTAAGAATCTGAAGTTTGTTTGAATTAATTTCAAAAATGCAAAACAAAATGCAGATAATATTTTATATAACTATTATAATAAGATAATATATTCACTATAGTATTATATTAAAATTATAAAGAATTAAATTTTTATAAGTTATTATAGGTACAAATATAAATTTATATTAATAAAAAAATTTATTCTGTATTTTAATTCGATTGTTCTATTTCAAAATACAGGTATTAAAAAATTTTATATTTTATAATTTCAACTTTATAATATATATATATATATTTATATATTTAGGAAAAAATTAATATTTGAATATAATTCTCTTGAAATCATTCAATATTTATTCGAAGCACTTTTTTAATATTATGAAAAACAAACAAGATATTCCAGATAATAAAGTTACGGAGGCTTTCTGAATTTTAATCTTAATTATATTGGATTAAAATTATATTTCATATTTATTTATCTATATTAAAATTACATTCGCGTTTAAAAATTAAAAAAATAATATAACAATACAAATATTATATTTTTCTCAAATTATATTATTATTCTATTCATTATTGAATCATTAATTATACATAAAAATTATTTTACTTTTATTCTATTAATTTTCTTTTGAAATTAACTTAAATTAAAATAATTAAATTAAAATTTACTTAAATTAACTTAATTAATTTTTATTAAATTTATTCCTCATTTATTTTCCTTTCT